TACTTTGTCATCAGCTATGTTTATACGCTAATTTACACTCTTCTTTTCTCTCTCTCTCTTTTTTCAGCACGTTGCGCTTCTAAAGTTTTACAGTGCTGTTTGTAACATAATAGTTTGTTTATTTTTAAAAATCAATATCAACGCAGATCAGTTGTGAAATATGTTGATTCTCAAACAAAACTATGCTCATTCATATCAAAATCGATAGTCATATGATAAAGAGTTCCATACGGATAACCTGCAGCTTAGTATTCGCTTGAAAGAATGAGGAAAAATGAGATATAAAAATTTATTTTGTAAACCACGATCGAAAATAAGACAACGTTTCTCAGAACGAGTATTTTTCTCTATCTCAACTCTCATAAATTACAAAAGTCAATTGATACTCAAGAGAAGCTATCGTATACATTTGATAACATTGTATAAACGCATTTTTTTATTCGTCGTTATGTCAATGAAAGAGACAGAAGAGAAAAATTCTTTGCGTATGTAGATAATAATACATCGGTGTGTATCGTCTGCTTCTTTTTCCACGAAATCCATAACTTTTGGATATTAATAATCAACGATATGAATTATATTTGAGTTCACATGCAGAAATAGACACTCATATCCGTAATGAGGTTCTATTACCATTCGTTAGTTTTCAATTTCTATATATCTTATGAAACAGGTGTGACATTATCTGGTGACTCATTTTATTGTATGTTGGAAATTTTTCTTTTTCGAATGTAAGATTTGCTGGACATAGAATTCTTTGAAAATTTCATATGTTTCAGAACACTTTCTTATAGAACAGTATCTGATATTACTTAATCAATTTCACCCTTTGTACGTAGATAAGACAAGTCCTATCTGGAACATGGGAAACAAGAATAGTTCACATCGAAGTGAACCAAAGTTTGTGTGACATTTGCTATTCAATATGAACTTGTGTTAACTATTTTCTTTTCATTATAGAGTAGATGTAGACAAAAATGCTTTCTCTACGCATATATGCAACCGATGTCATGAACAATTTAGTACTGAGATAGATCTTCAATATCATCGAGTGAGTAAGAAACCGTGTGAGTACTGTTATCCATAGTTCGATAGAAAATCACTAGATGTTATGAAAAAGTATAGCAAGCGGTCAGAAAACATATCAATGATTGATACTGCGAATCTATTTCAGCATTTAATTGAATATACAGAAAGATACGGTTAAATTTGAGCACTTGTTTTGCTATCGATGATCTGTGGATGACGAACTATTCATTGGTATTGCCATTTTCTAGTGTAAGAAAGACGCAGTACACGCTGCAACTCCGAACTCAATAGAAGACGTGCCAGGTAAATCTACGCATACATATCTTTTTTTTTCTCGCAGAGTCTATCAGCTTTTTAAGCATTACATGACCGTTACTCACTTAGTAATGCCATCAATTTCGTTGTCTTGTTGTAGAAGTTAAAGTCTTCGGTGGCTCGATCCATGTCTGTACAGGCGATATCACACAACAAAAGGTAAGATCAAATAAAAATTCCTTCTTTATAAGGAAAATATCGAGCGATGACTAAGAAAACTGACATTTTCTATTCATACAGATGGATGCCATTGTTGTGACGACAACAACCGCTCGTTACAGAGACTCTGTTCTTCAGAAAGCAGGCGATTCTATCAAAAAACTGTACACAGATCAGGCACAAGCTAAACCAGATACATCTTTTAGTACCGATAGTGGATACCTACCGTGCAAAAAGATATTCTTTATACCGTCTTCGAAACTATCTAAAACTGCTGATAGATGGGTGTTTCGAACTATTGTTTCAGAAGCTATACAACTGATAGTTAAAGAAAAGACGATCAATATTCGATCCATCGTATTTCCGGCTGTCGGTTGTGGCTTTCATGGCTGTGACATAAACTTTGTTGCAGAAACATTACTGAGAGCTGTTGCTTACGAGCTTGAACAACGACCAAACTTACCCCTATCTGTTTACTTTATCGTTCAATCAAGAGATTCTATCGTCTTCAATAAGTTTGCAGAGCAGTTAAAGCTGTTGAATTCTCGTCCGCAATCATCTGCACGGCGCCCAATAACACCTAGAAAACCTTCAGCGAAAGATAATGCGCCAGTTTTCGAACGCAGAGTGCTGGATCCATCTAGCGATGTATATAAAGAAGTTGTTCAACAATTTCGAAAAACTATCTCTGACCAGCACTGCAAACAAATTGTTCGTATTGAAAACATTCGGAATAAACGTTGGTACAGACAATATTTAGCAGAACGTGACGATTTCAATCACCGACTCAAAGAAAATACGGAAAGACGCTTATTCCATGGATGCTCAGAGAAAGCGGCTGATGGTATTATGAAGGAATTTTTCAATCGAGGCTTTGCCGGTAGTCACGGTGTGTATAACTTTTTCGTACCAGTACTCATCAGCTCAGTCTTGACATCATCTACTTTCGTTTTTGACACTAGGTGTTTCTTATGGGCAAGGATGTTACTTTTCATCAAATGCAAGTTATAGCCATACGTACGCAACGCCTAATGAAAAAGGAGAACGTCGAATGTTTTTAGCACGTGTATTAGTTGGAAAGACAACGAGAGGTGATTCTTCTATGAAGTTGTGTCCTCCGGGATTTGATTCAACTACAGATGGTTCTCACATATTTGTTGTTTATCGAGACAGTCAAGCATTTGGAGAATATTTGATTACTTATAAATAACTTTCCCCAATTTCAGTGGTAGTCGACATTTAGCGAGATATTGTACAAACTCGAATGAATATGAAATTTCAACTTACTTACACGGAGTTCGCTGAAGTATATCTGTGATTCATATAAAGAGTAAGGATAAAGGCGCCAGATACGTACCCACAGCCTAAAAATTTCACAATAAACATAATAATCTAAATCATCAGGTTTGACTATTCAAAAAACTTGACATTGAAGCAAGTCATTCATTGTCTTTGTATACATATTGTTGATACGGTTTGCACAGCTCGATCTTCATATGTAACGAACATGATATCGTCTCCTCCTGCTCTCTTTTGCTCATCTCTCTCTCTCTTCCATATAAGCACGTGTCTTATTGTGAAGTGGATATATATATATATTCTGGATATGTGGGTAACCTTAATAAACACGTATACCGTGAGAAGCGGTTGGCTACTCAACTAGTTTGTCGTTCAGCATATTTATTCTATGTATCGAATGAAACAGTTTAATACAAAAAAACTGAATAGATGCTTAAAAAAGTATCTATTATCAATGATTTCTGCTATATATGTACTGCTAGATCTTTGCTGGTTGAAAACAGGTGATTCCATTGGTAATGTATTCGTCAATAATTGACCTTTCTTATTTCCTTTTTTACATCGGATGCTGTACTACAAGGTCATAAGATTTAGTGCCTTCTATAGACGACATTATTTAACTGCTAAACATTGATTATGAATACCATTATGCAACGATACGCGTTAAAATATTTATTTTTCATTTCAGGCGTTTATGTCTTTCTAGATTTCATGTTAATTCCAGAAATGCTTAATTTATCCGTTCCACAGTCATAATCAAAAATTGCCGATGCACCTGCATATAGAGATTACAATGAAGCAGTAAAGCAACTAGTTTTGTCCTGTGCATTTCATCTGTACTAAACACCATATCTTCTTATTTTTAGATTTATTACGACTTAATCGAAAATTATAACGAACAAAATAATAATGACACTTCATTGTTGTATGTAGTAGTTTGTATCGGTCTTTTTCTTTCCGTGAAAAGATATCGAAGTAATCTTTTTATCAGTTTTTATTGTTGACTTTGCATGTCTATTTGTCTTTATGAAGTCATCGGATGTTTGTAATATGGTCCTTAGTCTCGATCAACTATATGTTTTTTCTTATATTCATAAAGAGTAAGTGGCGTAGTATTAGCGTAGAGTACATCTCACTGTATTTTTCCTGTTTATAGTAAACCGTAAACTACATGGGAACAGTAAATGAAGTAAAACGATCATTGAAAAGGCCACACAATATCATAGGTAAGTTGTTTCATCTTACTGCCCATTGAATAGCTTTTTTTTCTCAGGCAAAATAGCACCCGGTAGAGTTTTCTCTGTTAGCCTACTTTTCTCCCGATATCAAAGCAAAGGAATAGATATTGAGCCATTCGGAGACTGACTGAACATATCTTTCGTCACGGCACTATTATATGTCTATAGTGGCGAGTCCCTATATAATGTGATATGCGCGAGGCGATTCATACTTTCTTAGTTTAACTGTAACTTTGAGATGAAAACTAACTAGCAGATGAGTATATTGGTAGGCTCAAATTGACTTGCTTAGAAAATAAATAAACATCAGTTTAGATTTTAACGACACCATCCTTTCTTTGTAGAACGATGGTTCCTGCAACAGTATTGTATGAATTTCCGACGCAAACTAACGGAAAACACCTGGTTTCCGTGCGAGATTGTTCGACCTGGGCTATTCAATGCTTTTCCTTCAGTCTTCTGTTCGTTGCTCGATGTTTGCTTGCGCCAAGTTCGAATTTCCATCAATGGTGATATGTGAAGCTGTTGTTCAAACGAAATGTCAATTGTTAAGTTTGTTTTCGTTTCACATAAGCTTCTCTTCAATAAATGGCTCCACGCACAAATCTTTTTTTCTTATCAAAAGATTTCGTTTCTCCCCTAATATACGTGGTCTCACTTAATAATGAGTAATCCGATCTGAACCCGGAAGAATGTCGATATAACTTTGTAAAACATTTCTCTTTTTGTCGTTCTTTCTTCGAAATCATTTAAATTTAGAGCAAAACAAAATCTGAGAAAAAAGTTCTCATCAACTTTATAGAACAAAGTGACACTAGAAATGAAAAACGAAGAATACAAACAAAGTGACGAGAAAAAGAAACTATAAACACATAGAATGAAAACATAAAACTGTTATGAAACAGATATCACTGATATACATAGATTATACAGAAGAAGGAATATCAATCATTGTCAACATTATCGAATCTTGTTGAATAAATTTAGTACACTGTCAGACTCTTTGTTTGCGCGACATTTTGTAAACACATTCCAAAATCGCAGTGTTTCATCCCCAGCGCCTGTGACAATCGACTCACCATCGGGTGAGACAGCCAAGTATAGGACACGAAACGTGTGTCCAGTCAAACGAGCTAGTTGTAACATCGACGGATATTTCCAAACGACGATTTGATTCTGAGAATAGCCATGCTATATAAATAGAACGTTTAGAGAAGAAAATCGGACGGATGACAATGTGTTTACCGTTGATACAAGTTCATTGGAATGTTTCGACCAAGCTAAATTACATACTTGAGATCCTGTGTCGATACACTGTAAACTTTGCGCAGTTAATGTATTCCAAAATCGAATGTATCGATCAGCTGTTCCACCACCGCTTGCAAGTAGACCTTGTTGATGTGGACTCCATGCAATGGCTTTCACAGCAGCTGTATGATCCGTATAGATTTGTATAGGATTAATACATGATTGATTCCATACAAGTAATCGATTATCATTTCCACCACTAGCTAATAATTGGCGATCAGGGGACCATTTCAATCCACACACTTCTTGTCGATGTCCAGCTAGTTTTCTTTCTTGTTTACTGGAACGTGTATCATTTTGTAAGATGAATCGATCACGTGAACCCGAGTAGATACATTGATCATTCCAAGCTAATGCACCAACACGTGCTGTATGGCGTGGAAACGATGCCGTTTTGCGATTTGTTTGTGCATCCCAAATTTGAACGATACCTTTATGTGTGCCAACAGCGACATATTGTCCTCGATCACTCCATGCGACACTGGTTACTGTATCTGATTCCGTTTGTAGATCACATAAGCGTGTAACATTACTTGTATTCGCGTTCCACAAATAGACAGATGCATTGAGACCAACGGCAAGAATGTTTGTTGATGACCAATCAACAAGATTCAAATAAAAATCATCTTGAAGTTCAGGTGCATCAAGAACTTTGAATGGCGTCTTAGGAATTTTTCGTAGCTGTTTACGTGGCGAACGTAGAAGACGAGTCGATGCAGGCGATAAGAGTGAAAGTGAATAAGGCGAATAATGAAGATCATCTGCATTTCGACGAGCTGAATAACGAAATATTGTATTTGGATCATGTGTACGTAGTAGATTCGAGTTTGTATTCGAATATGGTAAACGCTGTTGAGATGACTGAGTAAGAATCCCCTAAAATGGATTGCAATTTAATAGATGAAACAAAATCAAATAGAGGAATTACGTTTAGGCCCGATATGGAAGCTGTATGTATTTGTCCATTTGCAACTGTTGTATTGATTTGTACGTTGATTGTTCCGTTATTCATTGGATCAAGAATTGTATTTGATGATGTTGTTGCGTGAAGATGAACGTTATTGGTATTATTATATGAATTGTTCATAGAATAGTCATCATACAAAGTATCTATTTGTGTGCCAAACATTTCATTCTGCAATAGGGTCTGGTAAGTCAAAATATCTTTTGTTCGATCAGCTGCGCTCGTAGTAACATTATTTGAAAAATTTCCACTAGCGTTCGTTGTCGTCGTCGCCGTCGTCGTCGTCGTTGTTAAAGAAGATAGATCACGTGAAGTTTTTTTATCAGTCATTGGCCCTTTATACGTTTGTTCCTGATCGACAAAAAATGCAGACGGTTGTGCTAAACTTCGAAGAGGAACAAAACGATCACTGCATTTGATAGGAGACGGAGACGATGTTGATGATGAAAATGGAGAAGATGACAAAGACGAACAACCTGACATTGATCGAATGAGTCGACGTTCAAAATCGGCCTCCATGATTATCTTCTTTATAAAAAGATTAAAACTTTACTGTGATGAGAACCAATCTACTGATCACATGAATATAGAATAGAATGTATGTGGAAGATTGAGACCTCTCTCATGATTTGTCACTTTTCGAACGCCAATCCGAATTGCATCAACATCCTTCATGTATATAAATATATCAGTATCTCTGATCAACGTGCCTGTATCTTTTGAAATTATCGTACTACGAACATACTTTTTAGATCGATTGAATCAAATTCTTTCGTTGCATGTATTTATCCCTAAAAAATGTCTCCAATAGGTGGCGCTAATACATCGTAGTCGTATATCGCATGAAGGATACGATGGTGACTCTGAAGACATATTGCAAGAGTAATCTAATTCTGAACTTGAGCATTTGAATTCGATCTGAATTGGTAGTAGAAAGTATATATTTGAAAATCTTTGACTGATTGAGAAATTGAACAACATAAAATAGAACGCATGATTAAAGAATTAATAGACAAAATGAGAAAACGGCAAGTGATGAAAAATGGAAAGAAAAGAGACATTTAAACGTCTGCTCGTTTTTTCTAGATGATGTTTTCTATTCGCTAGGAGCTGTTGTTCGATGATGGACATCCATATCTTCTTTTGTTGCTGTCGATAAATCAGGATACAATTTGTTGTTACCAGCAACTGGACACTAAAAGATAAAAAACTCATACGCTATAATCATTGAATTTATTTGACTTATTGCTTACTTTCGAAGGATCTGTTTTCTTCTTTGGCATTGGACATGATTCTGGCATACGAATACCAAATTTCGCTCCGAATTGTTCTAGTTTTTCACCCCAAACTCCAAGTTGAGTGCCAACGATTCTCAATGGTGGATAATACTGACAGAGTCGTTCATAAATCGGGCGAATGTATGGTTCAAGAAATTTACACCAAATGACAATAGCTAAGCCAACGAAAATGCAAGGTACACAGACCATTTTTGCCGGTGATTTCCTTCTTTCTATCTAAAAAAGAGTATGGATGAAACAAAGTGCTAAAGGAAATGTCGTGTCCATATATAAAAACACAAATATCTTCAAAAGATAGTATTTTGAAATAACATTGAAGACGATGCTTATATGAATAAACTCGTCTCATATTACGTGTCAGTCGATTTGAAGATGATGATGATGATGATGACTGACGATCAAGTTGTCGTTGGTTGGTATTGGTTCCTATTAAAAGATCAATCAGAATGAAATATTAGGTGGAGTAAAGCTGTTTTCAATCTCAGTCAACATAAACTCAAGAAAGAATTTTGACAGTCGAAAGAAAAATTATCGTATATGAATCTATTTTTCATCTATAGATGTCACCTATAGAACAGTACAGTCTACAGACGATAGAAGAAGCTCTAGTGTGGCTTAATCAATAGTTCGTAACATTTTCCAGCAGAATGTTACAGATAATAATAGTTATTTGGAATGGGTTTAAATACTAATAAATCTATTGGAAATACAAAATTCAAGCGTTTTGGCATTTAAACGATACCATTAATCATTGTTTTTTAGCAGTTTTCCTATCATCATTGAGTACAGCATGTTTTATTAACACTCACATATACCGAAAGTTGAATTCATGCAAGGATATATTTCACATATGAAAACAAATGGAACGAACAGACAAGAATAGAGAAAAAGAAATGTTTATCGACGATATTTCCATTTGCGGAAGTGAAACCATAGTTGAAAGATACCATTTTGAAAATGACATCGAAAGCCATGTTTATATGAAAAATCCCATTCTTTACTGACAATTTTGAATGCAATATCCTGAAGAAAACGTAATGATTTCACATAATTTTGCCACCTGACTTCTTACCTCATATGGTGGACCAGCATGGAATTTCAAGATTGAAAAATCGCGATTATCTTCACAGACCGTCTAAAATCACAAGATGAGTATTGTTTACATTGAATATGACAACACATACCAAGCTATACGATGGTGTTTTCGTTTTGTCGATCAAATCAGGATAGAAAATCTAAAACACAGGGTTAAAATAAATCCTGCTTCATACAATCACTTACATTAAATTTATATCCTTGAACTGTTTTAGGCGGCGGATTATCCGTGTCGTAATGTTTCTTATTATATTGATTCCAGTCATAACCCTAAATAGAGGATGTTTATTACCCTAATTCAAATACAATTTGTCAACCTACTGTATGAACTTTATTGAAAACACGAGGTTTGCGTGGTCGATATTTATCTGACCATAGATATTGAACATCCATAGGTACACCGGTATTAACATCTGTGTCATCAGCTGTTAGGGTACCCATGGTTCTTGCATAAGCTTCAAATGCGTCTTCGACGTCAGGTTTAACTGAACCAGACTTCATTACTGATTCTCGTTGTTGTCTTAATTTTTCCCAATCATCCGTTTCATCTGTGCAACGCTTTTGAATTTCCAAATCCAGATCATTGATACTGACTAATATTGGTGAATAGCGACCTTGTTCATAATCACGTATACACCGATTTTCTAATTCTTCGGAAAATAGGTATTCATTATCGTTGTTAGACTCCGTTGCATCAATGTCTTTTTTCTTTTTTGGTATTGTTGATGATGAGGTTGCAGATGAAGTAGATACAGGTGCATGGAATATTCCTTGTTCTTGTTTAATCTTCTGTAATTTTCGTTTCAACGTTAACTGATGGCGATCGTGAAGACGAGCTCGAGCCATATGTGCTTGCAATTGAGATAAAAGTGACTCCCAAAAACCAATATCGATGCCTTTTTCATTTTCAATCTTCGATCTAAACAAGAATATGATCATTACGAAACAGGAAATAAAATACACATACCTGATTCTTTGTTCCAATTGCTCGAGCTGTTGTGGAGTTTTGTTTTTAAATGTTTCTGTGACATCTTGAGAAACAGATTCATGAATTCCATCACGTCGATCATCAACTCGTTGATCATTGTACAATTTCGAAGATAGTTTTTTTAATTTTGCTAATTCATCTTCAGTAATTGTTGTAACATCCTGCCAATATTGCGCATCATAATTATGTGCTAATTTTCCACTGGTTTTCTGTTGTTGTTCTAACTCCGTGTACACACGAATGTCAGCAAGTAAATCTTCGAGATCACGAATGGTAAGACCATTTAAATAAGTTGATGGTTCGTGCATTTCCACAGCTAAATCGTCGTCATCTTCATTGATATAATGAGCGAGAAGATCAATAGGTTTAGCACGCCCGTCAGTGATACGAATTTTTGACCGAAGACGAACTTGATTGAAATGAAATGAATCTTCTTGTTTTTCCCATTCCCGATAATATTCAGCTTCTTTGACTCGTTGTAGAAATTCTTTTTCTTTTTCCATTTCCACTTTTTGACGTTCACGTTCTAATCGTTGTTTCTTCAATTTTTCCAATTCATTCTAAATAAATCCCATTCGATCGATTGTCTCTCGATAGACATAATGTCAGCTTACTTTGTTTTCTTCAACACGTCGCGCTGTCATCGTTTTCAATTGATCTGGTGCAACATCTGTTAGACCTTTCTTTTCTAATTTCTTTCCCCATACAAAAGTATCTAACAATTTCTCATCACCGAATGGATTGTTTGCATTTGTCATACCCTATTGTAAAAGATGAGGTTTTTGATTGGAATAAAATTTAAACTCGATCATACTAGTTGCTCAGTATCCCATCCTAGAGCTGCTTTTTGTCGTCGTTCCTTTTCCATTTTCTTCGCTAAACGCCGTTGTCGTTTCTCGTGCGGAGTTTCATAAACTTTTCGGAGTTCACGCTGACGCCTAAACATTCGATAAGTATAAATCAAGACATGGGAATATTTACCTTTTCTCGAGTCTTATTTCATAACCCTCACGTTCGATATCTTCCATTGTTCGACCTTTGGTTGAAGTGGGTCGTTCTCGGTATTCTTCTTCAGATGTTTTGGAACTTTCACTAGACGACGATGAAGATGGTGTATGACGCCGTTCACGATGCCGGTGTTTCCGATCATCATCATCATCATTTCTATCTCGACTTCGATGCCGGTGATGTTTCTTGTGTTTCGAATGGCCCATTGAGAGCTAAACGAAATGAAGAAACTTTGAACTGAAATTACCGATTTGCTTGAATATTCTTTTGTGTATTATTGCAGTAATAACGTCTGTTTATTGTATTGGCCTGTATCGAGTGATCAATCGAAAAATAAGATTTCGAAAATCGAGAATCTTCCGTTCAATTTTTAATCAAGGTGAAAAATTGTGAAAAGCAAAAGAAGATAATGAAATTTGAATTTATTCCGTCTGCTAGATAGATGTCGCTTTACAACAGGCAAATGTTTCATCGCCCTTGGAAATTCAATATACTGTCCAACTCGAGAGTTAGTTTTCCAAGCTATATATCTTTTACTAACAAGCACATGAGCAGACCTTTCGTAGAACAAATTGCTCTCGATACCAAGGTGGAACTACGAAATAATACAATATCCACGTCATTTTCCGCACTAGCTGAACAATCCTCATCTAAAATCTCGATAAATCTTAACTAATACCTAACAAAGCGTAAAGTATTAACATCGAACAAAGTTGATCTTAAAGATAATTCATTACACAAATCCTACCATCCATTGTCGATCCACGGTAGACAAGTTTTTCAATTACAATTGCACTTGAGTGCATTATCAACAGAATACGAAATGTTTTAGTACCCGCTTTTCTCTCTTGATGGTTGATAATTAATGTGATGGTGATAGATAGAAAAATGGAAGCTTTCCTAATACAATGAAAGAAGACAAAATCACCGAAATATATGGTATTTTACTGCATTTATAGATGTCGCTTCAGAAAAGTGCTGAAAAATCTTCGTAAAATGATAAATTTTCCATTTGTTCAGACATTCGACACCCAAAAATCCGTAAAACTAATTAAAAATTTCTTAAATGGATCGATCTCTTCGCCAATAATATTCGTTTGAGATGACAGGACAACAACAACAATATTCCATGAAGAACAACAAATAGGATTAGTCGTATGAAATCTTTTTTTCCAGTTCTGCTCTATTTTTTTTTCTTTCTGCAAAACCTCTTCGTTTGATCATTATGTAAAGAATATAAGATATCTTTTTATGTATGTTTCGTTCTGAATTTAGATATGCACGAATTGAATACAATTCCTCATTATCTGTAATCATCGAAGCATGAGTATTGGTGACACTCTATTATCAAAACATTTTTTCCTTCGTATCGATTTGTCAAGCAATCTGATATTCTGAATGTTTATGCATATCTATGTCATCGTCAACATCATCTTCATCACTTTTGCTGTGTGTTTTAGTCAAAAGTGCAAGAATTCAATTGTCTGACAGTCAGTTTCACTTAGAAAAACCGCAGACAGTTAAATGTTCATTTCTTTCTTAACTATTTAGACGAATGTTGTTCTTATGTTGTACTGAAAATCGATAATGTGAAATCAACAACAACTGTAGTTAAAGGACTCACGCCGAGTTGGGAACAAGAATTCTATTTGTGAGTTATATTCTTGAGTTTCGATCTTTCGCTTCTTTTTCTTATTGATTATCACATAAAAGAATTGAACTGAAAGATATTCTCTCCGCCGGATGTCCCAATAGTGATTTCCCTGAAGTAACTTCGCGTAATTGTACGTTCGCGTTGTTGCTCATTGGATACATCATGATTTTTCAAGCAGATGAAGTTAACTCATTCCGAGTAAAATCTATCTTTTGATGAAATGAATACTGACAGATGGTTCGGTTTCATTGTATTATCAATAGATGAAGGATTTACCCTTCATTTAAGTTCTTTTTCTACTTCTAACGGGTAGAAAAACGATCCTATATCATTCATTGCCATAATTAGCGGAAATGAAATGAATTGCCATTGAAAAGATTATTGAATATTTCGAAAACATCTTTTTTTTTCTCTTTTATTTCAAGTGATGTTCCCGATCGTTCAGCTGGCCTACAAATTGAATTATGGGAACGCGGTCAATTCTGGGATAAACTTCTTGGTTTATGTCATATACATTTAGACCGCAATGACGAACATATCAACACAGATTTCGCCAATGCTCAGGATCGTTGGGCCACACTTGACGCTGAGTTAATTCTCAATCGGCAAGGTCAAGTGACCCGAACATGTCATCCCACCGGACATGCTTTGTTAATTCGCACATATGTCGAATTGCCATCGGATTTGACCGAAGAAGAATCAAAAGAATTGTCGGAGAAATTGGAAATTCTACACGAAATTCTCGACAAAGAAGTAAATATCACTCAGTTCTATTCCCATGAGTTCCATTCTTATTTTGATATTCGATTAACTGTTCAACGTCAGTTCGAGATTACCCTTGACGTTAAGAAAATCATTCTGAGAAAATAATTCTCATCAAATTGAATTCTTTGTTATTTGTTTTAGGGTCGTCAGCTTCAAGATGTTACATTCGATGAACTTAATTCTCTCTCAACTATGCACACTGATCAACCAGTAAGTTTTTATTGTCAATTTGTTTCCTTCATCTTTAATTTGATATGATCAATTGTGATTGTGCGTGAGCAGGAATGTCATATTTTTAGTCTTCTTCTTTTTTTGTTTGATTTTCTTAGTAGAAAAGAAAACCCAGTAAACTGACATTGTTAATATTTAATATGTCGAAATGAGATGAATATATGTCGTTTGCATTTTCTTAATTGAATACATTAAAACTCGAAAGAATGAAATGATCAAACGGAGAAAACATTTTTACCCTCATTTGACAGAGTAAGCGATGAATGTAAGTTATCTCTTTTTTTTTAATATTAATTCTACGTTTTATAGTCAAAATTCTCGAAAAATCAACACATATCCGAGAGAACTCTGATAGTGACTCGTATTTTCATACACATAACTAAGTATTCATTGAGATCCGGTTACGACAGGATGCGTTATGTTAAAGCTACAATTAGAAAGTCTATAAAAAGTAACACTTAGCGTCCAAGTAGATATTCTCAACCGCTAATTGTACGTTGATTTATTGAAAATAAAAACTGACGTCGTATTCAAGAAATATTTCTTTTGAAAATTCAAAGAGAAAACAAGAAATGAAATGTGAAACCCTCGATAACAATGTGTTTTCCTAAACAAGTAAATGAAATGTCGTTAAAAGAAAAGTTTTCAAACAAATTAGAAAATCCTTGTATGTAGATAGATGGTTTTTCTTTCATAACAAACGAACTGTCGAGCAGAAACGATCTTCTCATGCTAGAATAAGGAAATCGCCTGAGGATAAAGAGAATTTGCTCACGAAAAGATCTTCAGAGAAGAAAAACCACCTGCTTCGCGAATGTTCTTTTAATCAGTGAACAAATTTGGAGTTTTATTGAGAAGCAGATTGTTTTATTTGATATTTATTTAGGAGATATTAACAAATGCACGACTATTTTCATTAGTTTGAGTTTGAACACAAACGCAGACGTATCTCTGAGAGAATTTCATGTAGATCCCGGGTTTTTTTTCTCATCTACGATGATAGACTGTTGGCTTTTGAATTTTTTCATGAAGGTAAGATGAACCAGTCTGAAAGAGATGAAATTCAGCGATTGTACACATTTTTCTCGAAGAATTTCATTGTCGAAGAGAGAAATAATGCCTGCCGTTGTTTCGATAGTTACTTTACGTCTTCGTTTAAGTCGAGTATCCATAGGAAATATCTCAAGTCAATAGATCCTGCTGTAGACGAGAGAAAAGGACCGGAAGGAACCTTCTAATTCAACTTAAAGTTTTGAAAATCTCTTCATTAGGTAAAGACTAGATAAAGAAAAATGAAATTTGAGAAGATTGATCAAACAAGGCAAATCTTTACAGAAAAAAAAAACTTTGCTTCTTTTCTAGTATCCACTTCATTATCGACAATTAAGTCACCGTTCCCATTCACATTGTAAGTTGTCCACTTAATCAAAATGAAAAGTGTCGAGTTTTCTTTTGTTTTCAGTTTCGGATGACAGTGATTATACGTCCGATGTTTCATATCCAATAAATAATCAAGCAAATGTTAATTATCCTGTTCAGTCCATATCTCAATCCAATGAAAATTCCTCTCCGAAGCCGATTAACAAAAAACCATCAGCTTTGGTTCAACCGCTCGTACGAGAAGCATCTCGTCGGCCCAACCCCGATTCAACTGATAAAAGAAAGTCCTTAACACAACAAGATCCACTTTCCTATGTCAGTCAACCGAGAAAAATGGCCAGTCAACTGTCCCACGACCAACCGTAAGTGAATTTGTCCTGTGAAAACTCTCGTTTTTCTCTATATTGTCTTGTCTGTGTACTATAATTAGAAAAATCAAATTCATTCAGGTAAATACCATTTGCTAATCATACTGCGTGCATGAAAATGTTTTTACAACCGGGGAATTCAACGCACAATCATGTTTTGCATGTAGTTCTTGGGTTTTTCTCTTCTTCTAACATAGTTTTAGTTGATCTAAAACCAACTAGAAATGATTGATAAACTGAAAAAGAGAAGAAAATCTCCATATGACATGTTTTGTCATGACAAAGCGAAATTGATAATAATAATAATATTTAGTCAAATGAATTTCTCACCGGAACAATTAAAACAAAAAACAACATTGATCTTTTGTCTTTTGAACTATTGTAGAACGAGAAATGTTGACTGAGTATTTTGTTCTGTTCGAACATGTTTGGATTTACATTGAAGAATGCATATGATTCAGTTGTGTAATGAATTGTTCTCATTTTTTTACCATAATCGTCACGTAGGAGCGAATGTCAATAAATTCCTCGTTTTATTTTCCTGTTTTGCATAGAAAAACAGTTTTAATCTCTCGTTAAATGTATTTAGGCAATGCATGAATGAGAAACTAGACGCGGTTTCATTATTCATTGACTTCGCAATGAAGTTCTTTCTGGTAGTTCGACTACCTTATGAATTCCGACTTCTTTGATCGAACGATCGATCGATCTAAATCTATTGAGAGGAAAGGATGTCATTTTCCCTGCAGGATTTCTCTATCATTGTATAGAAATGAAAGAAGAAAGAGAGAGAGAGAGAAGATCTTACTCTTAGCCCAAATGAGTATATTAAAAAAATAAATGAAGAATGAGTCGAGGTCTTTTTCTGTCTGTTGGTTGTGAATAGAAGAAGAAGAAGAAAAAAAGCGAAAACAAAAGGAAAAGAGAAATCATAAAAGAAAAAGATTTAAGCAACATTACCCGTCCAAATAAGTGAAGAAAGAAAGAGAAAGAACGAAGAAAATCAATGTCATTTTTTTTCTAATTTATTAATGAGCAAATACACATTCTTGCATTCTCACCCTCCTCTTTCTTCTTCCTTTTCTCTTCCTTGTTGTTGCCGAAGGGACAGAGGACAGGATACACAACGTTGATGACGACACTGTCGCTTCATATCGCGTGAAGAAAACTCCCTGTCGTTTTCTTTTGCATGTGTTTTACTGAAAAAGCAAAGCGCGAAGGAGAACAACGCTAAAGCGTGTTTCTGTCTGCTTCTCTCGTTTCTCTCTCTCTCTCTCAGTATGTTCGGATGGTTGCGTGATACACTTGCCAATACTTCCCCTTCTCTCTCTTACCGTCATTCAATGATACCATCTCGACTTTTTCGTCAACATCAAGCTCAGAAGAAAAAAGGTTTATCATCTTCATCAAACGACGATGAAGAAGAAACGGATGAAGAAGCCAATGATAATTCTTTCTATCACAATCCATACCATTCAAGTGGACAAATGAATTACATCGACGTACCTCAACAACAGTATGTCAATCACTACACATATCCGACATATCTAGCTGAACAACAAACATCTCATCCATTAAACACATCCCTCGATGAGCAAATTCACGAGAAATTATTATCGTTGAAGAAACGCGGAGATCAGTACTCATATTATGCTCATCGAGCAGAAAATTCCTCTACTCTTCGTCAAACATTCAGTCCCGACATTGATAAACAAACAAATGATATGGCAGAAGATGAAGAAAATGCCGATAATTTCCATGATGGCATACCGGTGTATTATCCCGGTCATTATCCCAATCAGGACGAACACTTCGATTTAGCTTCAGTTGTCTTTTGGTACCGAAATGTGATGCAATCAGTAAAGAAATTTATGTGAGTGGAAGCGAATTTATCGTTGGGGTTATTTGATTATTAGCTGAAAAGAAAAACATCCGTACTTAAGGCACTCTTCTCTATATATTAGAACGCTAATTTTCCTCTTCGAAGCTAGAAGTTCCTTTTTTCTCACTTAGTTCCAAATATTTGATTGAATGGCTTGATAGATTAGGTCGCTTGTTCGAATCTCGTTCACGGATACAATATGGCACGTGTATCAACTCATTTGTATAGTTGATAACACTACTTTTGTAGTCCAAAATTAAACGTTAAGTATCTTTGCAACATTCACATCTGATTATATTCATTTGTGAACTACTTAGAAGAAAAACAAAGTCGAACTTTTTTTTCCTGTGCGAGTCCGTTTTGCTTCTACTGTCATGTCTTATTTTAAAAAAGAGAATTTTGCATTCGAGAAAAGCTGAAATGAAAAGAGGATTGTCCTACGGGCAAATAAGCTGGATGAAAAGATTGACTTAAGAAATAAATACGGGCGAAAACTGAGAATGAATGATAAACATTGACTGATCATTATTTGATTTTGCGCAGAAATCTAGTTGTTCTTAAGCTAACTTTCAGATTCTTTCGTAACTCGAACAAAATGTCAACGAAACAAAAGATTGAAAATGTCAATGGAATTCCAACGCACATCTATCAATTAGGAAACGCAATGCAATCATCAAAGACTATCGTTATTATACCTGGTAATCCTGGTCTCGGCGGCTTTTATATTCCATTCGCGCATGAACTTTACAATTTGTTCAATGAAAACATCTCGATTTTGATTATTTCTCAAGCAGGTCATAGTCCACCTTTGAAACATCGTTTTACTTTGAATGAACAAATTCAACATAAATTACAGACAATCGATCAGCTACTTCCGCGAACGCGTCAACATCGATTGATTTTAATTGGACATTCAATTGGTGCTTATATGGTTTTGCGTATGTTGAAGACATTAGAATATCGACTTGACCGAGCGTTTCTGCTCTTTCCAACACTCGAACGAATGAGAGAAAGCGATGCCGGAAAACGTTTCGTACGTTTCTATCCAGTGATGCTCTATTTGCTGCCTTTCTTGTGTTGGATTTTCAGTTTTATCTTCCCGTTCGATTGGTTGAAACGCAAATTACTTTCGTATCATTTTGCCGATTCACCCGAAGCTGATCGTTCGATTCTAGTCGATACAGTTCTGTATGATTTGTTAAATCCGGTGTCGATGAAAAATGTTCTACAAATGGCGAATGAAGAAATGTCAGTTGTGCGGAAGCGAGATGATGAAATCATCGAAGAATTTTTGCCTAAATTAACATTTTATTATGGATCAAATGATCATTGGGTACCAGATGATGTGGCAAAAGAAATGAAAGAACTTTATCCTCAGGGAGATATTATTAAATGTAGTAATCAGTATTTGCATGCGTTTGTTTTAAAGCATTCAAAAGAATTAGCTAAGATTGTTTTTGATAAGATTGATTAACTTTGATTTCTTTCCGTATTTTTCATCCGAATAAACCTTTTTCCTTTTTCTCTTTTCTAGTCCAACTGGGAATCACCATTTTATTCATCCCGAAAAGGATGACTATGCCAATCATCATTATTCCATAAGTAGTGAAAATCATCTCGAAGGTAAACAAGACGAAAATGACAAAACCAATGCTTTGTTATCATCATCCAAAGCCAAATGGTTCGATGCCGTTCGAACTGTCAAGCAGCTGAATCAAGTAAGTTCCAGAAGCGATGAACGTCACTTGAGAAGAAAAGTTAAATATTCAGTTCGAGGCTCGATGACGCATATCCATCTGTGTCAGTGTGATAAACTGAGAAATGTATCATTTCGTATGTGCGTGTAGATAGTTTAATAATTGACTTTTTCCTTTGATAAATCATCAATCGCTGATGGAGCGTGTTTTAAAGCAGCTGTCGCCTTTTCTTTGACGATAAAAAAGAAAACGCGAGAAAATGAAAACTCGCTTCACTTCGTTTTACATAAATACTCAATACCCTGCTGTTACTAACATAACATATACATATGGAAATAATGTGTTCCACTCCGAGTTCACGATCAAATTCTATGCCGAAATTATTCCGTCGTCGTTCAATAGCGGTAACGTCGGGCGTGGGAGAAAGTCTCTACGGAGACGATTTAGAATGGGATAGATCCGATTTCGCACGGAATCTACCTGAATCGGATGCATTGTCAACTTATGACGTCAATGAAATGGCGGAGATTTTACGAAATCGCTTTCTGGAATTCGATATGACATCGCAAGCGGGTGGTGGACGATATACTCCATCGCGTCAATCGTCGATGATCAGCGAGGCTCTAACACCGATGACCAATTATGATTTCACCATAGAAGAATTCTTGAAGAACAATTTCACCAGTCCGAAAATTGCTTTCGATATCGAATCACTGTGTGAAAATCAAATACTCGATCGTCCATTTCATCGGAGTCTACCTGATCTGACCGTAAAAATCCCGGAAAGAACCGTTCTCCTCTCCAAACATCTCTCCTTAATGGATATCACATCAATTGAATGGACTTTTCTGAAACATGCAACACCTCGTGCATTTCTTCTGGCCAAAGCCAATCATCGAACATCATTTAGTCATTTACCTCGATCATTGGAATCGTTTCCCGAACCATTTTTCACAGATACGAAAACAAGTCTGAATTACTCACGTTTGTCTCGTTTAGCAATGATTCGTCTCTACATGAGCAAATTACGCGAAAAAGTTTGCGAGTTTGTTATGCAAACAATTCAACCGACAAAGCCAACGCCAATGCCAGTTATTACCGAAGAAACCATCGATACTTACGATATTATCGGAGAATGAGAACAGAAGAAAGAAAAAGACATGAAAACCATATCGCGTGTGCGTTTTTCCTAATATAAATAATTAATGAAATGTTCAACAGTCCTTCATAGGACATAGACAAAGTTTGCAACGACTATAATTGATGAAAGAGACTTCTTTTTCAGATGAAATCAGATTTCTTCGCATCTTATTTCATCCATGAAAAGCAAAAGCAAATCCTCTGATAGAAACTCTCTATTTCTGTCTTTCGTCGATTAGAAAAAAACTCGTTTTATCTTTTCAGACATATCCTACAGGGTGAACCTTACTCCGATTTTCGAGGATGTTCGAGTAAAAATAGCTCGGCAATCGTTTTACACAAATCAGTAATAAATGACTCGAAAAAACTTTCCCACGTGACGTCACAGTTGATGATGACAACTTATCAGCTAAAATCTATTCAATCTTTATCAACTGAGGAATAATCGTCCGAGTTTTCTCTTCTTTATTCATTTAATAATGACAGTTCTATGTCAAGTACATCGATTGCGTGACACCGACAAAGGCAAAAAAGAAGAAGCCATACGAAGAAAAACAAGCTTCGATGAGATAGTTTGTCTTCTATTTGCAAAACATCGAGATAAGTTGATGTTCTAAACGATTAGCTTTCCTATATGATGAAATGCATTTCCTGTGTTGTCCGACGGTATTATCGAATGGCTATAGTTGTCCATCGGATGAAAATCTTCATCTCCAATCGAACTTGACTTCATTTGTACAACGCGTTGATCGAACGTTTAGTTGTTCGGCTGATGAGAAAACTTTCAGTGAAGAATTCGATGAAATATTTTTGTTCGATGATGAAGATGTGAGTTTAGTTCGATTTTTATTTGAAAATAGTTCTTAGACGATAGTTTAATCAATGGTCTACTTTTAGAATACAACTCCAACACCTCACGGGCGTTTTGCTGATGCGGTAACCAAAATCCGACAATTGCACGCGCTTGATGCGGATGGTAAACCAGTTACACGACGACTTCTACCAGGGATAAACAATATCAATAATTCCAATTCAAATATCGATGCTAACGGAAAGTATGTGAAATAGATTTTTATTTTTCTCGATTATGATGTGTCTGGCGCATGACCTTGTCGTTATTCATATAGCAAAGAATCAGAAAAATATGTGATGACAGATTGAGACTTCGTTTAATGGAATAGATCTCCTTCTCGTTGAGACGTCGTCGTTGATTAGTTTTTAGTTCATAATAGAAGGCAACTACGACGGTTTTAGAGAGCCTACAAAATACTGTTCGAGATGGTGATGATCTTCTGGGTATCTGAGTACAGAGACAAATTGCTTTTTCTCTGTAAGAAGCGCGATTTCATTATTTATTAACGAGAATATTAGTATTAATGATTCATACATTTTTAATGAGCCGATATCTATAAGCATTTACCTAATCGTTGACATAAGAAGTCGACACAATTGCGACTAAGAAAATTTCATGTAGCATCAATGAAACTTCTTGTCATTTCAGCGTATCAACTGATCCACAAGCAAACAATGCATTCTACAATTGCATTGATAGTGCACCGGACATTCCTGATGCAAAACCAGTACCATTGGGTCTTGATATGGTAAATGATATGACTGAATATTTCAAGATCGAATTGAATCTTCTTTTAGGGAATCACCGTGGCCAAACGTTCAGCTGGTGTTCCGACCGCTATTGGACGACATAATTTAAACGATGAAGAATTGGTAAATTTCGTTGTATGTTGAGAGACGACGACCGATTTCGTACTTTTAGCGCACTCATGTATATAAAAAAACATTACAAGCATTAATTTATCCGATATCGTTAACAACTCCACATGATTTCGAATTTTGTTCATTTACCCATCCAACCTATTGTTACGAATGTGAGGGTCTACTATGGGGAATCGCTCGGCAAGGTTTAAAATGTCGAGAATGCGGAGTAAAGTGTCATGAGAAATGCAAAGATCTTCTAAACGCTGATTGTCTCCAACGTACGTAGTGTTTCAATCTCGTCATCGATGTTGTCTGTCATGTCCACACTATATGTTGTTCTAGTTTCATTATCTAATGTATTTTATCCAGACGAAGATGTTGATGAGAAATTGGTCGAGGAGAAACGTATGCGAGAGTTCTGAATTAACAAAACGATTTGTTTTTGTTTTCATTCTGCTTGTTTTCTCTAAATGGTCACGCTTTTAAATAATGCACGCTGCCTGTTATTAAGCGATCTAGTTCACCGGATTGCTTGCCGAAACGAATGAATATTTTAATGAATGTTTCTCTTTAGGTCGAGCACAGAAAAATGCCAAACATGGTGCTGATGATAAAGCGAAAACTTTAATGGAAGCCATGCATGAAAAAATGACACATCGAGAAAGTACACGGCCACATCTTTTTAAAACCATTCGGTAAGTTGGCTTGGAATTCCATCTGATTAAACTCTTGTTTTTGTTGTCTAGTGACGTTTTCAATGTTGATGAAATCTCTCATGTGGGTCATATGAAAGCTGTTAAACAAAGTGTACTGGATGGAACATCAAAATGGTCGGCCAAATTGGCGATAACTGGTGAGTAGAAGGCGTGGATGTATCGAGGAAAACAAAGGAGATGCTTTGTTTTAGTGATAAGTGCTCAAGGTTTAATAGCGAAAGATAAATCTGGTACATCTGATCCGTATGTAACTGTACAAGTTGGTAAAGTTAAAAAACGAACGAAAACGGTTTATTCGGAATTGAATCCGACGTGGAATGAAAAATTCTATTTGTAAGATCATCTAGTTTTGAAGAGTTTCTATTAACAATGTTGTAATTTTAGTGAATGCCATAATTCATGTGATCGAATCAAAGTTCGAGTGTGGTAAGTAGAGATTTAGATTAGAGACAGATGTTTTTCCGACGCACATTGTTTGTTTAGGGATGAAGATGATGATATTCGCGCTAAATTAATGCAAAAATTAACTCGAGAATCAGACGACTTTCTCGGTCAAACGATCATCGAAGTTCGAACTTTATCAGGCGAAATGGATGTTTGGTATAACTTAGAAAAACGAACAGATAAATCAGCAGTTTCTGGTGCTATTCGTCTTCATATATCAGTCGAAATCAAAGGAGAAGAAAAAGTCGCTCCATATCATGCACAATATACATGTTTACATGAGAATTTGTTCTATACTCTTTGTGAAAATAACAATGGTCAACCGATCATACCGGATGCTAAAGGAGTAAGATGATTTTCTTTGTAAATCATCTATTGATTCGTTTGTGTAAAGGATGATGCATGGAAAGTTTATTTCGATGAGCCATCTCAAGAAATCGTCAATGAATTTGCAATACGTTACGGTATTGAATCGATTTATCAGGCAATGACGTGAGTTCGAATAAGTTTACGAAGACGATTGACAATCAATGTGGGTTGTTTTTTTTCCAGACATTTCGCATGTCTATCAACGAAATATATGTGTCCGGGAGTTCCTGCTGTGATGAGTACTCTTCTAGCTAATATTAATGCGTATTATGCACATACTACAGCGACGACTGCTGTATCAGCAGCTGATCAATTTGCCGCATCGAACTTTGGAGTAAATTTGGTTGTCGGAGAAGAAAAAGCGAAAATTGCTTTTGTGTTGTTTTTGTTTTTGTAGAAAGATAAATTTATTAAATTATTAGATCAATTACACAATTCGATTCGAATTGATTTATCAATGTATCGAGTAAGAATTTGGTTTTCCGCGTGTTTATTTTCTTTATTTAATGATAAATCTTTAGAACAATTTTCCATCTTCAAGTCCAGAACGAATGCAAGATTTGAAGTCCACTGTTGATCTTCTCACATCTATCACATTCTTTCGAATGAAGGTAAATATTCACTCCTACCGAAGAAATTCCCATGAAAAATATTCGTTAGTTCGCGAGACTTATTCCTTTTCGATTAATTTCGAATAATACCGTAAGTCTAAGCATGAGATTTACATTTGATTGACTTTGCCTGACATATTCTCCTCAATTTGACTTTATTAAACAAATTCAAATGGTTTTTTTTCAGGTACAAGAACTGAGCTCTCCGCCTCGGGCGTCTGGTGTCGTTAAAGATTGTGTGAAGAATTGCATTCGTCATACTTACAACTTTCTATTTGCTAATTGTGATGAAGTTTATAAACGAGAATCGAAACAACAACCGAATGGAACAGACAATCCTCCGGAACAACCAATGGAGGATGTAGTACAAGGATCGGTACCAAATGTTGTTGTGCCAAGTCTGAAAAGTCTACAATTTTGGCATCATTTTATGTATTTGTTAACATGTATCATCTCCGAAGATCGAGAACGATATAGTCTAGTGCTAAATCAGTAAGTTTGTGTTGGTTTTAACTGCTTGTACATCTAATAACTTTCAATTGATTTAGATTCCCATCAGAGCTTAATGTTGGTCACATAAGTGCAGATACACTATGGAAATTATTGTCCACAGATCTGAAGGATCATCTCGAAGGTGAATTTCTTGAGATGTTTTTCGATGAATACATCGATATCGATTGAATTTTTCAGAGCATGCTCGAGTTCCAGCCGAACGTCGAGAAATTAAGAGTGCTGATTACATGAATCTTCATTTTATGATCAAGCGATTCTATGATACATTAGTTAAAGTCATTCCCGAATCAAAAAATACAGTTCCTGAATATCCCAAGTAAGTTTTTCTTCTCATTGATTTGTCACATTTTCACTGAATACTCATGTTCAGTTATTATACACCTAAAGAATTTAAACGGTATAGAAAAGAATGGCTGACTTTGCTTGAGCATGAATTGCATGAAAACTATCCTTTCTTTTCTTCTTTTAAAGGTGGTTTGAACCGTTTGTTATGCAATGGCTCAATGAAAACGATGACATGTCCATGGAATATCTTCATAATGCTGTCGAAAAAGATCGACAAACAGGGGTAAGTCATTTCCTTTGAATTCTCCTTCAAAAATTTCCATTTGCTTCTTTTTAAAGTTTCAACAAACATCTGAACATTGTTTATTCTCTTCATCTGTTGTTGATGTGTTTACACAATTGAACCAATGTCATGGAATCATTAAAACTCTCGATCTTCACGATCCATTGGTCATTGCGACTTACATGCGACGATTTTCCATGACAATATCTCAAGTTCTACTTGGCTATGCCAACGCCATTCGTCGAACATTTGGATTTGTCGGCGGACAGGATCATACTTGTTCAATATTAATGAATAATATTCAGCAATTACGATTAAACTTAGAACAATTGTACGAACTAATGGGCGGCGCACAACTTGATGAAGATACAAAAACGCGTTTGAACGAATTACAAAAACAATTAAGTGATGTTCTTGATGAGTTAAGTGCAACATTTGTGAAAAGTATTGAACCAACAATCAGACAATCAATTGAAGAGGTTTATAAACAATTACAGCAAATCAAAGGAAATCAAATTGGACCAGGAAATAATGGTGGACAACAGAAAGGCGCAGAAGCGATGCTCGTTACTAAACCATTATTGGATTATCTCGATCAGAAGTTAACATTCTTTGCTGAACAATGTGAAAAGACTGTGTTGAAACGTCTTTTGAAAGAATTGTGGAAAGCGGTGATTAGTGATCTGGAGAAAGTAATCGT